GATAAATATTAGTACATCTAAGTCTGGCAGTTGTCCTGACTTGTTCTGCAGTACACGCTGGAAAATAAGCTTGTAAGCTGGTGAGTGTATTTAACTTATTCATGAGCAAAATGAAGCATTATTTTATTTAATTTTTTTTTTTTTACCCCTGCCACTCTTTGGTTCTTCCTGTATGTGATGTGACTCACTTGGTGGCTGCAAACTGTAAACATGTGAATTCTGATGTAGCTCTGATTGACAATAACCCTGCGCTTACATTTCTCAGCAGTTGCTCTTGTGAGCAGCGTAGCAGAGGAGCATGACAATCATTACAAACTGGCAACGGATTCATCGAGTCATACCCTATTACTTACTGAACAGGCCACATTTGAACACAGAATTTCCCTGAACTGAAAAAGTGATCTCTGCTTTTTATAAGCCTACACTTAGTATGCAACCTGCTATTTTGGCATTATTGCAGGCAACATTTCTCCCACATTCATAGTTTTTTGTACTGAATTATGAATTGATCATATACAGCTGTATAGACTAATACAGTTCAGTGTAGTACCCTACAGTAAATCAAAGTTTTTGTAGTAAAAGATTCATGTTTTTCTTGTCATTACTTTAGGGATTTTTTTATTTTTGAAGTTCTTGGTAAAGGCACGTGTGTTTTGAGGTGTTGGTAATACTTGTCCACTCTCATTTTCATACACGGGGGACACCAGAGACACCTCTTGCTTTAGTGCAGTCTATGCAATGCAAATGCATTGCATCAAAAATTCACTTCAGGCTGTGTCCCCTGTTGTAGAGTAGTTTCTATACACCACACTTTCCTCCAAAATCAATTCTGTCTATTGATATTTCATTTGAATCCGTTTCGGTAGAGCTGCCATTGAGAGCCAGATACACGAACGTGTCTTCAAGCGCTCTCAATTCTCCTGCTAGCATGTTGCCAGCTTTACCGCCGCTACCGCCGAGGGACTGCAAACACATTAGGAGTGGTATTACTCTTGACGTTGGGGCTCGCGCAACAGCAAGCCCCTTCAAGGTAATTATTCTCACTGGGCGTTTTGAATGGCTTGGGACTGCCTGCTTTGCGGATATACGTGGCTCTTGCAGCAGGGGGCAACTTAATATAATAGATTTTAAAAATGGCTGGAAAACGGCAGGTGCTGCCTTATTTAGAAGAGTCTGCCTATTTTAGTCTGTGAAGGAGGGAAATGGGAGGGTTGGTTTTGGTACAAACTCAGCCCCAGTAAGAAAAAAGGTGATTGTTACTGATGATTTTGTAACTGTAGAACACACCTCTGCATTTGTTAATAAGCTTATTAAATGTAAGAATAATGTAAAGGATTGTGCAGAGGCCTTGTAACAATATTGGGTGATAGTTTGATAGATTATCACCGTCGGTTTTTGTGTGTGTTTAAATGTATACATGCATATTAAAATATATATGAAATATAAAAGATGTGTGTGCGTGTCCGACCTTTTTGGAAAACGGATTTCTCTGCCCTCATTAAGATGTCTGATCAGACTCGGAGCTCACCTCCCAGCTCTCCCTCTCTCTTTTTCGCATGTTTTTTGATGTGGAATTCAAAGCAGCTGCAAATGTATTTTTTATCTGGCACACATTTCGCCGAGCGTCTCTGCCCACCCCTTCTATGCAGAGTGCGTTGAAGGAGAATAGTAATGACTTTGGCCTTGTGGGACTCTAAATGAGCGGAGTTCAAATGCAGCCTGTACATCACAGGACCCGTCAATCAGCAACGGCCAGCGCCAGGTCTGCAAGCAGAGGGAGCCAAAAAGTGTGCACAGTGTGTGTTTACATGTGTGCACACGTGTGGTTGTATGTTGCTAACCCAGATGAGGGTGGGGGGGGTTGGCAAGGTCCACTTGGAGGCATAGATCAAAGCACCAAAGCTTGGTGCGGTGCAGAACAGCCTGCTACTCTGCATACCCCCCACCTCCCGTTTTGTGGGTATGGCAGAAACCAGCATTTAGAGTGAACAGTACATGTAGCTCATTTTAGGCTGACGCTGGGCGCTGAAACAGGTGAGAAAGAACTGATAGGTCATGTGCGACGTTTCATTTTTTGACATCTTTAATACTTTTGGGCTTTTGTGCGCTCAAGGACAGTGCCGTCGTAGAGCCGCATCTTCCGCATCACACCAGGTTCCAGTGGGGACTTGTTAAAGAGCCTAATGAGGAAGAAAAAGCAAGCAGCTGTGTAGGAAATGATGAATTCCAAGAGTTTTTAATTTTAATTGGCTTTTTAAAAGCTCATTGTGATTTGAGATAAAAGAATGCTGCTTATCCTTTTTTGGACTGATGACATCAGTCTTATCCCTGATTGCTAACAGTCAAGAATCTGCATTTTGGGAACACTAGTGCACTCTTATCACAATTTTGCCAAAATTTCCCCTTTTCCCACTCATTTTTCCACTGTGTTAGATCACAGTCAGACCCCGAAGCCTTGCTCCGTTTTCACCACCACCATCTAGAGCGCTTTCTTTTTTTTAAGGCCCTCAAAAAAGATAAGGAGCAGACACTATAAATACTGAAGATGGTCTGGCCCACATATCTGCTTACATTTCCTGGTTAATTGCATCCTTCTTTATCGGCTACTTGGTCTGGTTTGGGCGGAGAAAGTTCAAATCTGTGGCCTCATTAAATGTTGACATGTATCACAAAGTGTCACAAGGGCTTCAGAACAATAGGGCGACCAAACATTTCTGCGGTTCTGTTTGTTTGGAAGTTTGCTTTGTTGATGTAAATGATGGAGGCGGTTATTGTCAGCATTTCTTCTCTGAGCCCACCCACCATTCTTTTCCACTTTAATCTCTTCACATGCCGTATGTTGAGCATAACCTTAAGCTGAACTCGGAATGTCAGCCACTGGTGTTAATTGACTCGACTGTCGTTACTGTTTTGTTAGCGTGCACCCATTGTAATTGTATATATATATGTTTAAAGCCTATTTACATTTGAATTTTCACATTTGTGTTTTTGTTAAACTGCACTGATGCATAGCGATAACTAACTTTGCCAAAAAAAAGAAAAGAAGTGATTCCTGTTCATTTCTCAATTTCTGCATAGTGTTACTTCATCTTAGGTAGTATTTGAATACATGACTTAAACAAACATGTTGCTTGAGCAGTCAACGTTGTACCCTGTCAGGCTGTAAAAACTCTACTTTGCTCCAATCTTATCATTGTACATGCCCATAAATTTACCAACTGTGCTCCCATAGACATTTTATTAGATACCCCTGGCTAGTACTGTTAGACCCCCCCCCAAATTCACACATTTTTTGCTTTCAGAACTGCCTTCCTTTCTTCTTCACACAGATGCCACACGATGCTGGAAACATTCCTGATGGATTTTGATCCATATTGAGTCGATAGAATCACACAGTTGCTGCGGAGTTGTTGGCTGCACATCCATATTGTGAATCTCCCTTTATGCCACATCCCAACGGCGCTCATGTGTTCAAGAAACCAGACTGAGATGCTTTGAGCTTTGTGACTTGGCATGTTTAAGTGCAGTAACCATCAGATGATGGGTACACTGTGCTCATAAGGGGTTTGACGGTCAGGAACAATATGTAGGTAGAATGTGGTGTTTAAATGATGCTCAGTTGGTGCTCAGTGCTTCAAAGTGTGCCAAGAAAATATCCCCCACACAATTACACGACCACTATCATTAGCCTGGCAGCATAGATTCGTGTTTTCATGTGGTTTATGTCAAATTCTGACCCTGCCATCTGAATGTCACAGTAGAAAGCGAGACTCATCCGAACAGGCAATGTTTTCACACTTTTCTGTCCAATTTTTGTGAGCTTATGCAAGCTGCAGCATCAGTTTCCTGTTCTTAGCTGACAGGAGTAGCAATCTGTGTGGTCTTCAGCAGCCGTAGCTCATCTGCTTCAAGGTTCAGCGTGCAGCTTAAGTTGTAGCTTGCTTTTGGCTTCCTATCAGCTCAAAGTAGTCTGACCATTCTACTCTGATGTCACCATGGCATTTTCGCTCAGCAAACTGGCACACTCTGGATTTTTTTCTCTTATTCAGATTATTCTCTGTAAACCGTAGGGTGGCAGTGTGGGGAAAATCTCAGTGGATCAGCAGTTTCTAAAATACCCAGGACAATGGGTCTGGCACCAACAACCATGTCTTTTTTTGTAGTTACTTAAATCACCTTCCTTCTCCATTCTGATGGTTGATTTGGACTTCATTAAGTCGCATTGACCATGTCTACTTGCCTAAACATGTTGAGTTGCTGCTGTGTGATTGGCTAATTAGATGTTTGCAGTAACAAGCAGTTGAACAGGTGTAACCAACAAAGTGGCTGGTAAGTGTGTATTCCACAACCACAGAAAAGCTGCATTTTCACTGTGGTCACTGTAGTGTTTTGTTCAAAATGACACTGGGGGGGAATGAGGGGAAAAATGAAACGTCTGACATGGAGACAAACAGCAGACGTTGGGGCGCTTTAACAGATGCTTTGAATCATCCAATTAGGCCGACGGCCCTTCTTAGAATCACATTCATATGTATTCAGGGAACTGGGCATTAGCTTTGTTAGAGGAAAAAGCGGGAATCAAGCAGTTTTCCATGGAAAGTATTGTTCACTAGCTGAAACTTCAGCTTTAGTGTGAGGTCTGAGCAACAAATGATTCAGTTAGTGATGTAGTGTAGCTCAAATATAAGAAAGCATAATCTATTAGTTTCAGCTGACGTTTCATGTTCATTGATCTTATGTCTCCACATGCCATATATCTTTTATTAATTGTGCAATTTATGTAGATCTTGGTAAATATCAATATTTAGCAGGCCGACAAGCAATTCTCTAAAGTCTGATGAGCTCTGTGTGCACATCTGCAGGTCTTCGTTTTATAGGAAGTTAGGTGGTGGAGCAGTTGTAAATCTGTGCTGAGAGAAAAGCCAGAGCAGCTCCAACAACAAATGAGTTGGACACACGCTCTATAAATTCTCAAATGTTGCCTGTTTGTGTGCATTTAGGTTTGATGGAAACTTCAATATCAATGTCTCCAAGACCATCTGCTGTGACAGACTTTCCCCCACCGTCAACAACCGAGCTTTCAACCCCGGACGGGACCTCAACTCAGGTCTGTTGAGACACGCACGCACGCACGCACGCACACACACACACACACACACGGTACATACAGATCCAATGAGGGAACTATCATTTGGTAGTCCATGAGCTGGCCTGCTTTAACAAATTACACACAGACACACACAACTTTTAAAGCATTCAAACTTTTAAAAGCCATTTTTTGACTTTATTTGAAGCAGGCAATCATTTGCCAGCAGTTGCCATGGCACCCAGTTTTTAAATTAAGAATGTGTGTTCTTTGCCTCTGCAGTGTTTTTAAAAAATATATAATTGATGTCAGATTAAAATAATAAGCTGTCTGTGTCCAAAGTACTCTGTTCGACTTTGATCTCTCATCTGCAGTTGTACTCGCACTTTATGTGTTATCATCCTGTTGAAAAAATTCTTCTCAGTTTTGTTTTCATCAGCTCACATAAATCGGGTGCAATCGTATGCAATTGCACACATGCTGTACGCAACCTCGACACTCCCCTTGTAGCTATTAGAAGTGATGGAAAGTAGTTTTATGGCGTTCTCCCTGCCTTGTTCCAAATTGCATAAGCACATTGCAGAATACTACCACATAAAACTCCCATATGTGTCTGCACTGCATGTCTTTCTGCATTTGATTAAGAATAAAATGGACAAAATTGACTAAAGGCAGGCAAAGGCAACTTTCCTCCTGCTGCTTTGTTTTCCCCAGTTCTGCTCCCTAGCATGCGCTCTCTATTTCCAGAAAAGAAGTATATGCACAGACTCCAGAATATTGAACTTGTTTCCTGATGTCTATTAACTTTACAGTTTTACTCAGTCACTTGTTAAAATCACTTCCAGCTATTCAGTGAGCTGCACTTTCATTTTTTGCTGGCCTTAGAGGTAAATCTCACTGATCAGTGAGAGACATTTTTACAAGTATTTTAAAAATATTGCCATCCAACGTTGTGTTGACCAGTTGTAATGATCAATTTAACTTCCAATTTAAAAAAAACAAACAATTAAAAATGCATTCATTTATTATGTCCACATAATGCCCCTTAGTCACGGGTTGCCCTAGTAGCTAGTCCTTCCTGACACAATCCCAAAAGGCTTTGGGTCTCCTCCCCTAACTGAAGCAGAGATCTTTTATTTGTTAGGCGACTGTGTTAGCAACAACTCTGTGGAGCCAGTATCGTGCGGAATTGGGAGTAATAATTATTACTACTCAAAGCTTCCTAGATTTGGCTCTACAAATTGATATTTTCTAATTTAATGTTTGCTGCAAAATCCCAAAAATTTCCTGAGGACTTCTTAACTTACTTAGCCACATATCTGAGTCAAACCATGGATATAACCCATCTCCGTCATCTCATTGCTGCCTTCACCCAATTGCTTTTTCCCTCCCCAAATATCCCACCCTGGTACTTTTTCTGTAAACCATTCATAATGACTGCCATTCATAACACGTCACCATCGTCAGGGTTTTATTTTCCTTACGAGTCAGTCACGACAAGTTCATGTTACCCCTCCCCCCCACCGCCACCACATTCAGCCCTCATTGACCCCCACACTCTCAGTGTATTCATTCCCTTCCATTTGTCTCGGCCCAGTCTAAACAAGCAGCCACAGAGGGGAGGGAGGGCCCGTGTGGGTGAGAGCAAGGGATAATTGAGAGGGAGAGAATGATAAATGAAGTTAGAGGAAGGAGGAGTGAGGGCTGATTGGAGAGTTTATTGTATTTTGTCCATTCTCTCTCCTCCTACCTTCCATTTTCTGTTGAATTGAAGGGAAAGATGGTGGATGGATTTGGAGATATCAGTACCAACAAGTTGGAGTAATCCATTTTCGGCCCTTTGTCTGAATTGTGTTTTTGTAGGCTGTCTTTTAAGAAGAACTCTCTTTAAACTTAAGTGCCACTGTATATACTGACTCATATCTAGCATGCCAGAGGCAATCTGCCATCTTTGACAAGCTGGCAAATAACAGTTTTCTTCTACTTACACAGCATTCATATGACTTTAGCTAAACTAATTATGACACTAATTACGGCATGTAGTATGATACTCAAGTAAAAGTGAAAAGTCGCCATCTAAAGCTGATTGGATCGGAAAAGACTACTCAAGTACTGAGTAACTGGTTGTAATGTCTGTTTTTTTTTTTAGTTTGTTTAAAGAAATGCACAAATTTTTAGTATTTTCAAATAGAATATATGTAAAATCATTAACAAAATAAGGCACAACAATTCTAATTTCCAGATTAGTTTTTAACAACAAAGCTTTTTTAACCAGTACCTACAGAAAACATTAGAACGAGGCAACTTCAACATATGTGTGTAGACACTAAAGCTAAAGAATGTCAGACTAGGGGTGGTTCTTTTAAATACAAAGAGGGAGCAAGCGAATCAGAAACACAGAGCACAGAGATGCGACAGGTATAATCAGGAAAAGTTTATTCCCCAATGTGGACAGCAGGAATAAAACAATAATTCTAAAAACAAGAAACAAAACAAACATCTGCACTAAAATTCACCAGGAATAGATAAACGCAATTCTAACAAAACTATAAAATGTTCTTTGTATACTAAAATACCTCAATATACACAGTGGATTAACACAATGTCATATAACAACACTAAAAACATGCAATACAAACAGAATAAAATGATGCAAATAAAAACTACACTAAAATCAGATTAAAACCAATTATAAAAGACAAATACAAACTTCCACGATGTGACGTACATACAAGAGGGCTCACTTTCCCATAAATAGTTTCTTCACTCAGTGAAATGATGGTTAAGCTTCAGCAGCAGTTGGCTCTCAAGGTTCTTGCTGTGAAGCTGTGACTGTTTGGCAGTGAACAGGAGTCCTGCCTGACTAAAAAGTCTCACGGGCTGCAGATGCAGGAAGAGCTGTATTGACTTTGATTGACAGCTTCTTGATGTGAGGAAAGCTCTGCAATAGATCCACTCCAGTGAATGGACATGAAAGGTACCTCTCCAGCTCCCCTGCTTCTGGCTTTCCTGACCCCATGGATCCAAAGAAGGCATCTTCGTCAGATAGGCTGCTGTTTGTACTGGCCTCATCCAGCTCTGTGTCTAGTTGATTTCTGATAAAGTTCAGACCTGTGGAAAGATGTATGGTTAGGTCTGTGCATTACTGTGCTGTATAGACTGCCGAGCTACTGGTGAAAGATTTTTATCACACCGGAGATGTTTGTTTCTAACTAACACTATAATCCCAAGTTACAGTAACAAGGAAAGTCATTATAAGTCAATATCTAGTGGCTCACAATTTAATGGATAAATATACCAGCTTTTAAGATGCTTCCCTCTGTGGACCAGGATGTTCTGAATCTTGGTAGAAGTATTGCAGCTGCAGTCATCTCAGGGTCTTTCATTATTTCTCCAAAACGTTTCTGGATCCCGTCCCGCAGCGCATCAACAAGAGGTCTACACATTTTGCAAGATGACTCCAGCCTCCTCAGCTTCTTCTGAGACAGCCTCTTGTATGTATTATTGGTAGCTTCTGCAGCAGTGGCATCAACTGTTGATATAAGATTGAGTAGATGACACGCACACTTTTGGTGCCTTGGAAGCTGGTACTGCAGACCTGTGTTGTCATTCAAAACAGCAAAGACATCTTGACACTCCACCTCTAACTCACTGTCTTCTGCATCATCAAGGATAGACCCACCATCCTCCTGCCATTTGGTTGTTTCTTCCTCTTTCTCCTCACCATATAATTGAAAGGCCTTCAAGAAATTTGAACCACTGTCGTCCTGGTCACTTTTTCTCTGATGTGATACTCTGAATGGATTTCTTCTAATGCTGCAGCAAGAACATCAAATGTATGCAAACCTTTAAGAGGTCTACAAGCTAGTGCAGCAGAATGCCTTTCAAAAGAGATGTCATCCATCCAGTGACAAGTCACTCCGAAGTAGCTATGCTGTCTGGCAGACCAGCAGTCTGTTGCGGTAGCAACATAGTTCACAGTGCTCAGTTTTTTGATGATTATGCTTTTCATGTTCTTCGCAGCTTCTTGTATTTTTGAGCACAATGTTTTCCTTGTCATTACTGTACACTGAGTTTGCAAGGTTTCCATCATAATCTTGAAGGACGATGTCTCAACTATAGAAAATGGTTGGTTGGCTTCACATACAAACGTAAGCAGAAGCTTGTCAAACGTTGCTTGTGTTACCCGCCTAGAGCCAGTGAAAGAATCTGTAAGTTTTGCATTCTTCATAGGTGGCTCGGTAGAAGAGGACGACTTTCGTTTTCTGTGGCGGTCCATTAATTCTGTATACATCTTCATTTTGGTGGCGTGAACCCTCTGACAGAAAAAATAGACCATGAAACTACATGTGACTAAGCAATTTCTATACACTTTTTAAAAAACAATGTTCCCATATTTTTAACCCTCCTGTCGTGTTCACCTCCCCACCGCCATTGACTGAACGGCCCACTGAATGACCAAATGAAAGACCCACTGAACGACCTACTGAATGGCCCACTAACGACCCACTGAACTGAATTTGGTGGTGAAAAATGTTTGTTATGCTAATTTAAGAGCTGTTAAAACAGACCACTCAATTTTGTCTGGGAGTGCTACAGTAAGGGGTGGGGGATGAATGAAACTGGAGAGTTCAACTAGCATAAAAACCATTTTTCATCACCAAATTCAGTTCAGTGGGTGGATTCCCATTCATTTTCTATGTTGGTCACTTTTGAACGGGAACACCACGTGTGCTAATAGAAGTCCTAACAGATGTTCATTAAAACACTCAAAATTCAATGAAGAGGTGATCATCATTTTTATATGTTCAAGTGCATAGTGTGGAAGGTATCATGAGGCAATCAGATGTAAAACACAATATTTGTGTGTGTTTTAAGTTGTAAATCAGTCAGATTTGATCCAAACACGACAGAAAGGGAAGAGAAACCAAAGTCGTGCCTACATTAAGTGAGTTTCCACACACACACAAAAAATAATTCCAGTTTAAGTTAAAAATAAGAACATATGCAAGGCTAAGCAGTGCAAGTCAATAGATTCTGCTTCAAAAAATGTTTAGAACCTTTATAATCTTTATAAACTTCTACACCTTAATAACTGTAGTTCTTTGAAAAAAGAGTCAAGACAAAAGTCACTTGTGGAGAAAAGAAAAATATTAAACCAGCTTAATTACTATTCTAATGTTTTTCTAGGAGAGAAAGGGAGTGATTCTGGATATGCACAATTTTTTAAAATAATTTAATTTTTAATGTGTACAAGGCCTAAGACTGTGATCCAGTCCTCGGGGACCAGTGTCCTCACCGCAACACACCAGAATGAAATTATTAGGTCATTAAATTCAGCCATTTAATTCATGTGTTAACCACTTAAGCATAGCTAAAAAGACATTTAGACCAAACTTACTGTGACATGTTTCCTCAGGTTAGATGTTGAGTTTTTGTACGCTGAAATGTCGGTTTGTTTTGGCTCACACAGAAGACATCGCATTATATAGCTGTTCTTTTGTACTCCTTTAAAGCGAAACATGCTTTGTATATGCGGCCAAGGGTGTTCATCCTCTTCAGTTTTGGTGCAGACAGTTGCCTCTGCCATTTCTTGATGTGTTTCTTCAGTCTGTGTCCACTAGTTTGAAAGGCTTGGGCTGCTCGGCCTGCCTTTTATATCTGGTCATGAGACTGCATGGCTACGTCTGATTGGTGAAAGAGTTACAGGTAGCCTCCAGGCGGCATGATCCATTATTAGTAGTATTATCCAATGTGTGAAATTAATTATTTTTAAAAAGTAGTAAGTCAAATATTGTCAAATATAACTTAGTAAAAGTAGTGTTTGTTCTTCACAAATGTACTCAAGTAAAAGTAAAAAGTATGGTGCAATGAAGGTAAAACAATATGTTCTTCTAAAACGTAAGTAAATGTACCTCGTTACTACCCACCTCTGCTTGCAGCAGTTGTATGTCATTGTTCCCACCTTTAGGAAATACTTTAATTCTCACACAAAACACATAGTACATATAATATTTACTAAACAGGAGAAATCTAAACATTTTCCATAGTTTGCATGGTTTGCATTCTAGTATATACAATAATGAGAAAGTGTCTGTGTGGTTAAGGGGAGTGTGCTGCCTGAGAAAGCACAGGAAGCTGAGCAGGAGCAGTCACTAGTTGTGAAATCACTTGACTTGTGGATTAGCTGGAGCTGATTTTGCACTCAGACCTCATTGACTCAAACTGGCAGGCTACAGACCATTTAATGTGTGCTATAGTCAAACATTTGCATTCTTACATACTTTTCTACCAAATAACTTTTGTAAGTAAAGAAAACAGAAATTCACAGGAAATAAATGCTGCTGTGAAAGCATTTTAAAAAGTTCTCCTACAATCTCCTCAAAAAGAAATATATTAAAGTGGGGCCAGAATGAGGATACACTTTGGAGAGTGCCACTGGAAGTGTAATATCTGGATCATAGTAAGTGAGGTCATTTGCTGATAGTCAAGAGTAGTAAGATTGGAGGAAATGGCTTTCATTTAGTTCCAGTTTCTTAGCTTGTCTCAATAGGAAGATCTAAACATTTGTGGCAGAATGGAGTACTGTAGCCTGACAGATTTATACAGAACCCTTCTTCCACTGTCAACACAACTGAGTGGTTCCTGTTTATGTGAAGCCCGGAGAGACGGATGGAGTGGCTGGGCAGGGATGATGTATGATTGGCAAACCTGCTATGCCTCCAAAAAGACGTTCCTCGCAAAGTAAATGTAGCCTGGCGTTGAAGTTTATAATGTTTGACCCTTGGACAGTTTCACAGCAGCTCTCTGATTTATCTGTTTTCTGTAACTTGTTTAAGCGTTAGTTGAACATTTGGCTTGGGGGTTTTTTTCCGTCCCACCCTTAGAGGAGGGAAAACAACTGTGGTTTGTAATGTATCTGGAAGGTTGGAGAAGGTCAAAACAGGTTCTCTTTAGCAGGTGATTAATTTAATGTGATCACAAGCCAAGAACCACATTTTGGGGATCATAGAAACCCAGCAATGCAATGGCTGGTAGTTAGCATGTCTGGGAAAGACTGTAGCTATAATTAACAAGTAATTTTAAATCCAATTTGAGGTAATGGAAAAAATCTTACAAATAACAAGAATTAGTCAGCGAAATGGCAAAATGGCTGGTGAGAAAGTAGAGCTGCTAACAAAACCACAATCATTTTTTTTATTTCTTGCTAAAAAAGTAAACACTCCAGTAAGACTACAGTCTTTACAAAGAAAAAAAGGATTGTAGTCTTGCGTGGCTAATAAAACTAAAGTCGTTGTTCAAAATGGCCATTTGTGTTACTTACTTCCTTCAGTCTGCTGCCAAATGTAGATGTACACTAGGAGGACTGTTCATTTATAATAGTATTGTTAGTTCCTTTGGCACACTGAGGCTGATTGGATTCACCACGGCTGGTCTGCATTCCTGTATTTTAATCAATCAAAGGCTGTTTTAACAGCTGCATTGTATTATTTTAATGAAGCCTACTTTGATGGTTACGGTCTATTTCTTCTCTGTCTCTGTTTTTTGCCTTGCGAAGGACCCAAAGTTTCTATTTGTGTCTCACTAGCTTCATCCCACCCCCCCACCCCACGCCTCATTGTGAAAGGCCGTTTTGTGTTGCAGTCAGTGGAAAGGAAGTTGTTGGCTTTGTGATGGGGTCTCTGTGAAGATACTGTTGACTTTGTGACCCAGTTTTAAAAAAAATCACTCTGTTAGTTTTAAGCAAATAGGCTTCAGGCCTCTGCAGAGGTTGTATTTGGCTGTTATTTCTAGAGTCTGTCCAATACTGGAGTTCTCAGGGTTGGTGAGGACATTAGGGAAGTAAAATATTTTGCTAACAATATATCCGCTAACGTATAATAACAGCTAATATTATTTATATGCTCACATAAAATATATAAAATATAAAATAGTATGTGTATCTTTTTACTTCCCCCACCCCCACCCCCCAAAACCTTATAATTATTGTGGGTTAGTAATGATGCAAATAGCCAATTTTAGCATGTTCTTAAAAAAAAGTATTTTGTATTAATTTCTTCTGATTAAAAATATAATCACAGTTCACACAGTGTTATCACAGTAGGCTGGTGAATAGGTCAGTAGTGCCTCTGAAGCCTTAGCTATGCTTTACAGGCCTGTGAGGCTCCGCTTGGGTCAGGGTGGCATAAATGTTTGCTGTTCGACAGTGAGTGCGATTGGAATTGTAGGCGTCCACATGTCTGCCTGACAACGCGGGCTCGTCCTTTGAGAATTTACATTACAATGAATCGAGTACACATGTGCCCAAGAAGTATAAAAGAAGCATAACAGGATTGACTCCTTGAACATTATGACTCCAGCTGTCCCTGTAAGTATAATTGAGTATAATCGTGACTAAAGGGGGCAAATTTAGCTGTTTTTCTATTCAATTCAAATCAGTTTTATTTATACAGCGCCAAATCACAACAACAGTCGCCTCAAGGTGCTTTATATTGTAATGTACACCCTACAATAATACATACAGAGAAAAACCCGACAATCATATGACCCCCTATGAGCAAGCACTTTGGCGACAGTGAGAAGGAAAAACTCCCTTTTAACAGGAAGAAACCTCCGGCAGAACCAGGCTCAGGGAGGGGCGGGGCCATCTGACGTGACCGGTCCCAGGATTCTTGGTTATGTTTAGCAGACTGTATCACATAAGTAGAGTTCTAATTTCAGATAAAAGCCAGAGTTCAAATACAAGAAATTTAACCAGTAGTTTAACAATTTGAAATTGTTCTTCATTAATTTATGCTGGCTCAGTTTTTAATGCAGTGCCTGGAAGAGCTATACAGTCTTATGAACTATGGACAGGACAATATGACCAGCAACACTTTATGATCATCGCCATCAGGCGTCGAGGTGTTATTGAAATGTAAAACATCACTGCAATGATGCATGAACATATCATGTAGCATATTTCTTTAGGGCTGATCTCTCATGTAGATGCTTTGTCACTCACTTGCAGTCTCACTCCTGAAATATGTAGTGTTTCTCACAACTTGCACGCCAAATCCAAACAAGAAAAGCTTCCAAGTATGCTGAACTTTCTGACTACATATTTTCCCATTTTCCCCATTCAGCTTTAGTAATGTATTTTTCTTTTTTCTTTTTCCTTGTTCTCACTCGCTGTCTCCCTATTGCAGTGTTGGCAGACAACCTGAAGTCCAACCCGGGTATAAAGTGGCAGTACTTCAGCTCGGAGGAGGGCATTTTCACAGTCTTCCCCGCCCACAAGTTCCACTGTAAAGGAAACTACGAGCACCGCAGCAGGTATAGAACAGCCACTGTCGCTTATAACACGTGTTGTTGTACTTCAGCTGTTTTCAATGTAAATAAATAAGATTATAGGTACAACTTGCACTTTGTCAGCAAATGTCACACATAATAATGGAAAAGATTGTTCAAGTGTGATGCTTCGGCAGCTCATTCCTGCCTTCATCTTCCTCACCCTCTTCCACCCCCCTCCCCGCCTTCCGTCCCTCCTCCTCTGCCAGTTGCTGTGGGGTGGCCTAGAGGGCATGTTGATGGCATCCTGCCCTCATACACCCCGACCACACATGCCATTGGTAGGAATGTGGCTCTTTACCACTAAAGCCTACTGGAATTTCACACCTCCAATGTTATGGTTTTTTTTCTCCTTCTCCCCGCCCCCCACCCCACCCCATCGCTGAAAGCCATCTCTCTCATGCTCCCTTGTGCATTTCGCATTGGCCTCTGTTTTCTTTTTATTATTCCTTTTGAGTTGTTGTTGTTTATTACTCCCATTGCTGTTCAAGTCAGTGAGTTTGGCGTGCAGCCATGGGAGAAATGACGTTGCTTGGCTTGCTTCAAGTATGAATGAGGCTTTGTGAGTACATCACTCGTGTTAGTGTCGCTTTGTCCAGCAGACCACACACATAGAGCCACTGACCCCCTACAGTCTACACCGTTCTGCAGCTCCACCTGCTTATAATACAAGCATAACACATACAGTGATACCTCAAATGACAAGTCTCACCAAATCAATGAGCGGTATGCAGCCGAATCTTCAACATTTGATATACTGTGTTTGGACTATTTTTAATTAAACATTTAGTTCTTTTTTTCTTTCTTTTTCTTTTCTTTTCTTTACTTGACACAGTATCCCAACTTTTTAGGAAACTTAGCTGCAGTAAGCAGTATTTTAAGACCAAACCAATGCTTTCACGCTATGTTGCTTGAGTTGCTTCTGAAAGTAACATGTCATTACTCGACAACAGCCACACACGGTGGTAGTTGTTCTTTAGAGGTGCAATTTTCCATAGCAAATGCTGCAGGTCGTCAGACAACTGTAGCCTCACTTTTCCAAAACAAATTCAGTTGGTGTGTGGAGGGGGGGGAGTAAGATGTAAACAATAAATCCTGTTTTGTTTTGTTGAGACTTAGACTCTTAGTTCTTATTCACTGAGTTTAAAAGCATGAAGTGTTTTTGTTTTGAGAAGGTTGATGACAGGCCATATTGCTGGATTTCAAAATATTGTCATATTTCTTCAAACCCCAACCACAATCAAGCATTATTAACCAAACATCCTTACTTTTGGATGATTCTTTTTTATATAGCTGCAGGTTGGGTAACACTGTGTAATCCCCTCATCTCCAACCGCTCGCAGAGGATGGCCGCCCCTCCCTGAGCCTGGTTCAGCTGGAGGTTTCTTCCTGTTAAAAGGGAGTTTTTCTTTCCCACTGTTGCCAAAGGGCTTGCTTATAGGGGGTCATATGATTGTTGGGCTTTTCTCTGTTTGCTTTGTATTATCGAAGGGTCTTTCCCTTACTATATAGAGTGCTTTGAGGCAACTGTTGTTGTGATTTGGTGCTATATAAATAACAAAATTGAAAATTGAATAATATGGTCCACAACTAACAGTGTAATTCACCTATATTTAAATAGACTTTCGATGCATTTTATTTTAAATTGCAAATTAATTATATTTACTTACAAATACTTAAAAATATGTACACTAGAGTAAGAGGGTAACGAATCAGGTGTGTGCAAGAAACAAAAAATAATTATACTGTAATTAGTTTTCATAATTTGTATGTAATGTATAAGTAATTTCATGTAGTACATGAGTAATATAAAATGTTGCCTAAGTTTAGGTATTTTACAGGCAAGGACACAGAAATGATACAAGTACTGTGCAATTTCATCCTAATTTTGAAGGAAAATAAATATTATCCCATTTCACATGTTAATACAATGTGCATTTTGGCTTGCAGGCTGTATTATGGCGTGAATTTTTTTAACATCTTCATAAACTATTCATTCTGTGATGTGTATGATGGATGTCTTATTGCATTTCTGCAAAATTACCCAAAAGTAACGTAGTACTTAAAATTACTTGCAGTATCTTTTCCTGTAAAGCACCCAGAGGTTATGCACTATGTAAAATTACTTACACATTACTTACAATTAATTATGTACTGCCTAAATTTACTTACAGTATTATTATTTCTGTGTATCTACCTTTAACTATTTGTAGGTGAATATCACTAAATTGTAATTTTGAATAAAATTCATTGAAATTCCATTTAATTACAGGGGAGTTATGTCACAGTTGCAGACTGTATTATAAAGTGTTACCAACTCTGCAATGACAGCATAGAGTGAAGAAGGTGCCAGACTTCCTCTAAAACTATGAAACTGCTAGGCAACAGAGTATGTTTATAATTTAAAACTGATATCTGTCCATATCCCGTTTGTGTATCTGTGTGTGTACCTGTGCAGGCCTGTGTACGTTTCTGCAGTGCGTCCACAGTCTAAACACATTGTGGTTATGATCGACCACGGAGCCTCCATAACTGACACCCAGCTTCAGATCGCCAAGGACTCAGCGCTTGTTATCCTGAATGCCATAGATGAGCATGACAAGGTTTGTGAAAGGGGATGCTTTTCTTCATTATCAGGCATCTGTATTTACATCTCTTATCATTCTTGGTTTGATGGCCCCTTTTGCTCCTTCCCAGATCTCCATACTTTCGGTGGCAGAGACCGTTCGCTCCTGCTCTCTAGACCAGTGTTACAAAAGTCTGCTGTCTCCAGCCACCAGCGAGACGAAAAGGAAGATGAGCACCTTTGTGTCAAACGTCAAGGCGTCTGATGGAGCCACGCAGCATGCAGCTGGCTTCGAGAAGGCCTTCCAGCTGCTTCGAAACACCACCAGTCACAACAAACAGAGCAGTAAGTCTCAGATAAGAAGACACTAATGTAGATTTAGCATGTTTTCATCACTGAGTTTGATAGTAGCAAACCTGCGTTTGTGTATCAGCCACAGACATGGTGATCATTTACTTGTCGTCTGGCGTCACGTCTCGAGAATCATCGGAGCTGGTGAAGAGAGCCACGCTCAGTGTGGTCCGGCAGGAGAACCGGCACCTCAACAACTCTGTCATGATCCTCACGTATGCTCTCATGAATGGTGGGTGAAAACTTTATTTTTCACCTGAATGTTTACATTTAATTTAGTCAGGTTTTCTGTTATAAGGAACTATTCGACACAGTTAATGAAATTCAGTTTTTCTATTTACCGTACCTCTGGACGTGTATTTTTTGTTTCTCTACACTTCTTGATCTGGTGCTTCATTCCTTTTGGCTCTACTGGGACTGAAGGTTAGAGAGGTGCTTTTAAAACCTCAAAGGCTTTTTGTTTTCTGTGTTTGTGCCTGTCTGTGCTTCCTTTTCCTCTAAATTTGTCCTTGTCCTTCCATCTGCCTCCTAATTCCAGTCTCCCTCTGCATCACACGTACACCCGTGTCTGCTGCGCTTGCTTTAGTCCACCATTAATACAAATTATTTTTGCATCGAGAAATGGAAATGAGGTACATCTAAGAGCAGAGAGAGTGAGACTTCAAAGAGCGTGCTGCTCACTCTCTGTGTGACTGACAGAGGACCTTGGCTCTTTAAAGGGAGATGATGAAAAGGATGCAGAAATCTATCCTCCTCTGAGTTTATTAGCATTGCATATTCAGAAAAAACATTTGTATTGTTGCTGATGCTGCTGCACACAGCTGAAAGGCCTGCTGTGGGAGTCTGATTCCCTGCATCCCCTGCCAAATGTGAAGTGCTGATTGTTCAAGGAGATCAGCAGTCTCCTGTGTTTGTCTCTGTTGTCCACCACTGTTACCAAAACAATGTCTGATACTCTGACCAAAACACTGTCTTGTCAGCTAGAATATGGTTTCGAATCTCCACTGGACATGTTGATGCTATCTAACAGTTGCACTATTTAAAAATAAACCGCTCGCCATATTTTCTGATCGGGGGGGAAGTAAACCTTAGTCATGCAAAACAGAGAATACACTTCTTTTTCTTCTTTACTAACCAACTAATACACTGATATATGAGATATTTTTAGCCATTACCTGATTTTAGACCCACAAGTGAGTTCACAGTACAGTACTATGCAAGTCTTGAGTCACCCCTCGTTTGTTTGTTTTGCTGTGAAAACCAGTTCATTGAAACGTGCAACCATACATGAAAATACATCATATAATCATTTATTATTGTTCTATTCCTGAGAAGTACACTTCAGGAGAAGTTCTCCAGGCTTTTTGAAGGACATTTATTGCTCTTTGGAGTCTGGGGAGGCCAACCCATGACTGATCACTGATATTACTATTACTGGTTTTCTTCTGCTTCTTCTTCTGCTTCTTCTTCTTCTTCTGCTTCTTCTTCTGCTTCTTCTTCTGCTTCTTCTTCTGCTTCTTCTTCTGCTTCTTCTTCTGCTTCTTCTTCTGCTTCTTCTTCTGCTTCTTCGGGATCATTGTCATACTAAATAATGAAGCCATTCCCGTTCAGATGCTTTCCATATGATATGACAGTTCTTGAGTTGTAGTCAGGAGTCACTTTGCTCTTCAAAAGTATTATTTTATGCTTGTCAAAATGTGGTATCTTTGGCATTTAAAAAAACAAAACAAGGGAATCTGGCCTGGAAACCTACTGGAACTATTGGTCAAGATAACTTTCAAAGGATTATTACAAGAAACCAAGCTATAAAGACATGGGAACTGAGGGGGACATTACTGTTGCACATTAGTGTTGATTTCACAGAATTATCTTGCAGTAAACTCAATTTCTTCTAATATTAGGCTGTTTAAAGGTACTCTTGGTAGTGGTAGAAACATAAAGAAGCATTGATTTTGCAAGTTGGTATATGGTGCACATCTACCATTTCATTTTTTTTTCTCGTGCAGGCCTGTGTCAGATTGAATAAAAAAGCTTGTTAATGTCAGGTCATAGCAGTCACACCAAACAAAAGACAAAGGAGGTGAAAAGAATGATGGATTGCAAACATTTTTCCCTCACAGGTTAAAGTGAACAGATACAAGTGGATAAAAAATCCACTCTGGTTGAAACTGCCACCTGTGGCTGCATTGGCTCCCTTGTCAGGCCCAGTGTAATGATCACAGGAGCAGAGCCCTGGCATTAAAAAGGAATTCTGCTGTAATCCATTCAGCGATTGGATACTCGCTCTATCCTTCCCAATAGGTTGTCAGATGCCAAATGTTCCATGTCACAGCTGTCAGGGCCAGCCACAGTTATTCGTCCTCGTCTAAATGACCTTATGAGGCTTGGAAAGATGGTCTGAAGTGTGCATTAAGGTCTCAATTGTATATTTTCTTTAAAGCGATGAGGGATTCGTTTATGTCACAATCTCTGAGCTTGACAGATGACAGCTGGGCTTGGCAGATGCATGGGACTGTATGGGTAAAAGCTTATAGAGATCACGATGCAGGATCACAAGTTAGGGCTCGCTGGTGATGGCAAATCAGTTTGAAATTTTGATGGCAGTGTTAGTTATGATCCAGATGACGCAAGCTCATTGCTGATGACCAGAAGATTCATTGCGCTAAAAATTGAACTTGAAATTGTTTTGAATTAACTGACCGTTTGGTGGAAAGGATGTGACTTCTTCTCCTACTCCTTCAAGGAATTGTCTTGTTGCTCGTAGGGACATGAAGAAGAGTGGGTTTCCTTTTTATAATAGGAATTTGAGTCATGCATTCTTTAGTGAAGAACTATTTACTCTTTTTAGCTCCGCTTCAACCACTCCCTGCTCTTTTGATTTGCACAATTACCCTGTCCAACAGTCCTGTAGCCAAACCATCTGCTATGGATTTGTTCCTAATATCCCTGCTTGATTAAATCAAACAAATTCCGTCATCGAGTCTACTCTTTTTTTTTTTTTTTAACACTCATATTCTACACCGCTCCCTCCTCTTGCAGAGGGAATTACAGGCCTGAAGGAGCTGGCCTTCCTGAGGGACCTCTCCGAGCAGAACTCATTGAAGTACGGCGTTGACCGAACATCTGACCGAGACCGCTCGTCTGGGTCAGCAGGAGCTTCAGTAATGCCGGTGGTGAAGGGCAGCATGATGGTGCTGAACCAACTGAGCAACCTGGAAACGACAGTGGGGCGTTTTTACATCAATCTGCCCAATCGCATGATTGACCTGGCTCGCTTCAGCCTACCCTACACCGACCCGATGGGAGATGGTGAGTAGTGTGGCCCGAACTACACCAAAGGAAAGTTCATACTGAACTGATGCTGAACCACAACTGGCAGCCATTGCTTTGTCAACCCTCATGGTAGTGGTAAATAAGTAAATAAGGCAAAAAAAGGAACACGTCATTATATGGGCACACACTATTGCAACAAAATTAATATGACAGTGCAGTGAGTAAATATAATTAAAAGATAAATGCATTGTGCGGATTATTACAAATTCCTGATTAGCTTTGAAATCCTCACATTTAGGTCAGTTGAGACCTTTTTGACGGCATCAACACCACATTTAATCTTTTATTAGCCTCAACTTCTCAAAATGTAAAACAGTCCAGCCACCACTTTAATCACACTCTAGATTTTGTTCTGTCATATGGCATATTTAAATGTGCAATAATGGATTAAAAAGCAGTGGGTAAAAAATGCAAATGCAGTAGATGTCTTTCTGTAAGTGCTATAACTAAGTTTAAGTTGTTATCCAATACAGTGCCGTGTGCCAATACAGTGCCGAGCAGCTAGCTAAACTCTACAGACGCTGATCATCTTGTATTATTGTACGCTCTGTATTATTTAATGTTATTTACTATATAAAGTACAATATAAAGCGCCTTGAGGCAGCTGTGATTTGACACACTATATAAATGATAAGTGGACTGGTTCTTATACAGAGCTTTTCTGCTCTCCTGGAGGACTTTATAGGTGCTTTATACAACACGCCTCATTCACCTATTTACACCCATTCATAAAAGCGCTTAGTGTGGCAAGCTTAAACCTGAAGTGAACCTTACATAGTTGCCTGTACTTTCCACAGGATTTATTATGACTGTGAGCCGGCCATGTTATTTTGGTAACCAGCTCCTGGGAGTGGTTGGGGTGGATGTGAACTTGGCGTACATCTTGGAGGATGTTACATACTATCAAGACTCGCTCGCGTCATACACCTTCCTTATTGACAACAAAGGTGAGTCACACAGAGGTGGTAATCAGCTTAGTGCAAACCTTTTCATCAGAAACCAGTCTCTTTCTGTCACTCTCTCACACACACACACACACACACACACACACACACACACACACACACACACACACACACACACACACACACACACACGTGTCTTTTCATGATCGCAGAAGAATCGGCAGGATTACCTACAGCCAGACTTTTTTGTTGTGGTCCGCCTCAAATCTCTTCTCGACTCGTTTTCTCTTCGTGTGCAGTAATAACAGTTTTCCCAGGTAGTGCTAAACGCAGCGGAGCAAATCCAGGTGTCACATTGCCACTTTTGCTTGGCCTTGCCTGCACAGCAAATATCAATCAGGAAACTAGTCAGTTTTTTAAACAAGCACACTTTGTTGTTTATTTGCTTCTAAATGGAATTACACTTCATTTTGTGTCTCAGCTTCCTCCACAGGCATTACGCTTTATCAGGCTAGCTGGCGTCTTGTAGGTAGCACTGGCATTCCTTTGGCATTTCACTTTGTCGAACCATGCCTCAGTGGATTGCCACGCCACATTACAAATAGCGCTCATGTCCGGTCTTGGTTTGTCTTGGCCTCGGCTGAGGGGGTTCTGACTCAATTACTGGTGCTGTGAAATGGCTAGGTTGTGCTCTGTGGGCCTGGACAGAAATGACATTTAACAGTCACCGTTTTGCTAGATGGCAAAATAGCATTAGAAGTGATACCTTTTACTTACACCAAGGAATATTTGATGAAGAGTTTGTCTTCCTGACAAGCTGAAAACATGAAGAATAAAAATCAGGCTTTAGAAAAATTTGTTTTTAATATGTTTTAAATATGTTGGTGGCAATAAATAAATAAAATGAATATGCCCAAGTACAACTGAATTTAACCTAAACTCTTAACCTATAGAAGTGGGTGTGGAGGCACTTTTATTAGAAATAAAAATAGCTTAAGTGTTGTTTTGTGTGGTTTTTTTGTTTGTTTTTTTGCTTCAGGAGCTTAAAAAGAGTGAGTCGTAGGCAGAGTAATAATTCGAGAGAGCTGAGGGAAAGCATGTGAACATGTTCAGCATATTTCTTACTATTACTATTAATTAGCTAGCAATAATTAGCTTTTTGGCAGTTCTGGGAATTGAGTGCTTTTCAGTGAGTCTCTTTTTTGCCCCCCTCATCTAAAATGTCTGTTATTGTAATAAATATGCCATCAAATTACAAGTTATTACTGTGCCGTGGTTATTAGTGCTCCAACTCTGTAAACGCTGACAAATGAGTCCCATTAAAGTTATTAGCTGGCATTAAAATCGTCTGCTGCCAATTAGAGTTTAGGTAAATACGTTTAAAGTAAACATGCAGCTGACAAAAAGCTCCAGGAGTACAGAGCTGAAAACAGATTAGTACATTTAAAATATTGCTACACGTTCTCATATGGGAGAATATGTGTTTACCAGTATACAAGTCTGCTTCTAAAATGGATTTAATAGAAGTGCGTATATACTGTATGCACTGTAGTTGTCGCAGTGCACAATTGTGAATCTTAAAATTACGCACTGCACTCTCTTTCAGTAAATATACAATACTCACAAACACAAAACTCCAAGATTTTGTTTTTTTAGGCCTTTCGCACCAGCACATATAAAACGGCTTATTGTCTCCCAGAATGATTACTGCTTCTTAAGATCCGTTTATCACAGTACCACAAAGTACTGTTTGCCACTAGGGCAATTTTCAAGGCTAGATGCTGTAATTTTGCACAAGGGAAATTTAAGATGTTGGTAAAGGCTGTGCTTCAAGTTTTAAAGTGTGACAAGTAACTAAAGACGTCTCCTTCTCTTAACCACCAGCAGAAATGATCCTTTCCTAACTTTAAAGTCTTGGATTGTTCCTCTATTAAGCCTCGGAGGAGGTGGCCTTACTATAGTTTACTTGATATCATAATTTATTTATTCAGAGTGTATTTACTTTATAAATGGAAACAAGTTTCCAGATTCACCTGGAATCCCAAACTGTAGCATTCTTACTGGTTTATAAATATCAGGGGCACAGGCGAGGACTTCAGTCTTCCTGGCATTTAATAGCCTTTTATAAATCATGTTTCCCTCATGCATTGACAGCTAAATACCAGTGTTAATGTTGACAGCAAACTTTTGACTAAAATGTCATTTAGTTTAGTCATAATTTAGACATCAAAATTATTTTAATTCTAGTTTAGGTTTGACGTGTTTTTACCTGTGAAAGTTGTACCACACGGTTTGCAAAGCATCTTATTTTCCTTGACATCAAATGCAAAATGTGTCCATATGTGGACTCTTCTCTTTCTCTCAAGCGTTCACATTTTGTCACATTTTGTCACATTTTCATGAGAAACTGGGAGCATGGGAGTGTCCCCTTCACCCAGTTCGTTTGTCAGCATCTGATTAAATTATGTGCGTCTGACCTTGCTGCAGAAAGAGATAACTTCTGATTGGATCGCATCCAAACCTGTCCTGCCTCTTTACACAGCTTAATTAATTCTGATTGGATCTCGTCGCTCCAGAACATTTTCATCTAGATTTTATTCCTTGAAGACCATGTCAGTCCATTGCGTCATCGTTTTTGTGCTCGTGCATGAGTTTTTATTTAGCTGTCGTCTTGTTTTCATCAGGAGAAAATTGGTTGTTGACGACATCTGTGATAAAAATTATTAGTCAAGGAAATTAACATAGCTACTTCCAGGAAGGCCGCATCTTTAGAATCAACCCTGGTTTGATCCCTGCTGTAAAGTCTAAGCATCCATTGTTTTGTGAAATGGAAAGAAAATCTAGGCTATGATTTGCACATTAATTTGGCAAAAAGTATGACTTAACGCTGAGTAATAACAGTATCGTTACTAACTCTGCAGCATTTATTTCTAATTATATATTCAGATCCTGCTTTACTGTGTTGGTCTGTGCTTTTGTGTAATGTAACTGCAAACTGGTTGTTTAATTTCTCAGGCTACACCCTCATGCACCCCTCTCTGACACGGCCCTACCTGATGACAGAGCCTCCTCTGCACACAGATATTATCCATTATGAGAACATCCCAGGGTTCCCTGCCGTCCGGCAGAACATCCTCAGGTGAGAAAGGACAATTGCATGAATTTAAAAACAAAACAAAGCCATGGGTGGATAGATATGCACTATACTATGTGGCTTTTTGTTTTTGCAGTCTCCCTTTGGGCAGTCAGATCATTGAAGTGCCCCTTAACTCCTCTCTGTCCTGGCACACCAACCGTCTCAGGGACAACAGCAAGGATGCGTACAATGTCAGCTATGCCTGGAAACTGGTAGGTTCCCCAAAGGATAAGGTAAAAAAAACTCTAAACAAATGCCCCCTGGTCACTGGTGACATTTAGTTTCCACAATAAACTTCAGCTCACTCTTTTACATCTGCAACCACACACCCAAAAAAAGACGTGTTTATGTTTAAATGCTATTTCATCCAAATATAGAAGAAGTCTTGTTATTTTTCAGACCCTTTCATTTTACTCTCTGTGTATATTCGAACCTTGCCAGAGGGGAAAGAAATATGTAAATGCAACATTGAACAAGAGGATAGTACTTTCAGAGCAATGGCAGTAGGACAGAGTGAGTGTAGGCAAAATGATTGTGCCTCCCAAAAGGGAAGCTTACACAGTCAGTCAGTGCTCTGGGCCAATGAGCCATTATTATGGTTGGTGCACTGAAGATTTCATTTACTTTCTCCCCGTCTCTCCCGTTGCGGTCCAAAGCTCTTAATCATTCTCATTGTGTTAAAGCAGCATAGAAATTATGCTCCCAGCCTTTATGTCTTCACCAAACCTCCACCGGCCCCACCTTAAACGAGCTCGTCTGAATGAAACCAAGAGCTCTCAGAAACTGTTTGTCCCCTCGGATCCACGTTTCCCACAAGGCCCTTAAGTGTCATGTTAAAAGAACAGATGGGGAACTGGACAGCAATAATGTCATGCCTCACGTGAGTCTTTTTGCTTTTTGACATGTCAATTTGTTTATTATTATTTTTTTGGCAGGAGCAGAAATATCACACTTAATTTTAGACATTTCACTTTAGGCTTTTTAAAAAGGTTTTGACATTTATTTATTTTTCTTCAGGCATTAGAGCTCCAACACGTCACCTTTGCCATGAGTTTGGCAGCAGTCTCCATTTTTTTCTAAACAAGCTTTCCAGAGGCAGAAAAAAGGAAAACAGAAAACATTTTTTTAATATATTTATTTTTGTCTCTTCCCTCCAAACAATCTGTTTTTTGCTGTGCAAATAATATGTCCACGAGGGCCCCTTTTTGGATTGTATCATTATTCATGTTTGCTCTAATTTGAATCATAAATCTCCCGGGTGGTTCTGAAAACTGTCTACTGTACATTTGAGTGTGCTGCATCATTTATTTGGGAGGGAGGGGAGGGGATCATGAGAGCAGGCTTAGCCTTGTGTGGGATTCCTTTAGAGCCGGTTGCTAAAGCGGGCGCATTTGTTTGTGTGCTGCCCATAAATCTCTGGCGGTGGCAACTGATGGGAAACAGAAAACAGAGCTGGTATATATGGGTGCTGTCAGAATCTCAACCACTGCTAGACTTCAGTCTATTAAAGATGTGACACCATATTCCCTTTGGTCAGCTCACGAGGCCGCAAAAGACGAGCGTCGAATATTATGTCCGATTCGAGAAAGTGCAGTGAGTACATCCTTCTCTCTGCAGTCTGTGGCATTGTTTGGAGCTTGGAGCATCAAATACTCCGGATTTTCCTTTCAGCCCCATGAAAAACAACAGTGAATGGATCATCTTAAGTGCAATCAGGCATTCATTTTTTTGCCCACTCTTACCAACACATTAGCGAGCACTTGTTGCACAGTTTAACAAAAATAAGCACTTCCAGTTAGTATTAATTTTAATTAAAGGCTGACAGTAGTAGCAGACACATTTCCTATTTACTCCTATTTATTTAGTACTTATTAAAACTGCATTGCTTTAAACTTCATATTTGGGAACAATGACAATTTAATTCTTGGGCGGGATGAAGAAGCTTAGGACTGAAAGCCAGAGAAAGCTTAGGGAAGTTTGAAAATATGATTTTAAAAGAATTATTTGGAATACTGTTGCCTTAATCTGGTTTTTTTATTTTATTTAAAGTTAAGCTCCCTTCTCTCCTTGGCTTGTTCTCTAGGTTCAGGACACGTCGTTCATCCTGTGCATTGTGTACATTCAGCCCGAGATTCCAGTGAAGCAGCTGAAAAACCTGAACACAGCTCCCAGCTCCAAGCTGCTCTATCATCGTTTGGACCTGTTGGGTCAGCCCAGCTCCTGTCTGCACTTTAAACAGCTTGCCACCGTTGGTAGGAAGAGCACAGAGCTGGACTAATGTGATAATTCAAGTAAAAACACTGATTATCATCTCTGATTGTCCCTCTTTCTGTTTCTTTCTCAGAGTCCCCAACTGTGATGTTGGCAGCTGGTAGTTTTTCTTCACCCTATGAGCATCTCAGTCAGCCAGAAACAAAGCGTATGGTGGAGCACTACACTGCCTACCTGAGTGATAACACCAGGCTCATAGCCAACCCAGGCCTCAAGGTACCTGAGGACAAAAAGCCTGAGAACACGCAGACAGTTCATACTGAAGGACGGACTGAATGTCATTTACCGCTGTGTCTGTGAAGGTTCTCAGTCGGTCATTTACTGTTACAAACAGCCAGCCTTGCAGTCGAGTGACACGCATTCACAAAGTGCCATACCTGCCAGTAAACACACTCTTAAACATATTGTCAGGCTTCTTACACTGGGACTATAACTAAAACATGTAAATCGATGTGCTGCATCTTTAAAACAGGGGACAAAACTCCCGCATGGATTTTGGCATTCTGTGTGCATTCCTGTCCTGGGGGGAGTTTGAGTTTGAACTCCCAGGCCCCAGTCCCAACGCTGATTCCCAGGCTAGTCTTAAAGACCCCCTCCAGTGACCTCATCACCCCTTTCAAACTTAGAAGCTTGTCTGAAAGTGGGATGTGATTTTTCAGGGCTTCAGGCCTAATCAAGTTGCATTAATCACTAAATGGTGGTTTTCTAAGCTTTGTTCTGGCCTTGTGACCACTATTCTAACACTCCTGAGCAGAGATGGGATGAATATTTTCAGGTTTAGGCACATCATAGGAGGGTGCCTTTAAAATTAGCAGTAGTTCTGTTTTCCTTATGGACTGACTGAAATCCAAATTGCCAAGAGTTTTTATTCACTTTGCATTCAAGACGAACCCAAATGAAATTTTCACCAGTCCAGCACTTTTTCCTCCTCTCCTTGACTGCCCCTCACTGTCCATCTCTCTCTTCCTTTATACTTTCCTCTCTATAGTCCTCTGTCAGGAACGAGGTTATGGCAACTAGTCATGTTACGGATGAGTGGATGACACTAATGGAAATGAGTAGCCTCAACTGCTACATTGTGCGCCGTTACATAGCAACGCCCAGTGGGGTGCTCCGGATTTACCCAGGATCTCTGATGGACAAAGCCTTCGACCCAACCCGCAGACAATGGTGAGGGTTACTTTGGAGGGTGTGAAGAGGAGGAGAAAAGAGCTGAAGGCATGTGTGTGCATGTTTTTTTAGGGAGCAGAAAGGAAGTATGAGATAGGTGTGTGTGTGTGTGTGTGTGTGTGTGTGTGTGTGTGTGTGTGTGTGTGTGTGTGTGTGTGTGTGTGTGTGTGTGTGTGTGTGTG